TTGAGCTCACCAAAAAAAAAAAAAAGATTTCCGCCTGTCCTTTCCAGGGACACATTTTTATATTGTGTTAAAGGTTCTAATGCTTTGCTCTAAAACTGACATCTTTGCAGCAAAGAGGCAAAAAAAAAAATCAGAATACAAGTGGCAACAAAACTGGTCATTTGAAAGCCACTGGAGATGAGAGGGGGCCATCGGCCAAGCCCGACGCGAGCGCTAAGATTTGATTATTAGGCCGTATATAGAGAGGATTCAGCAGCTGGGTGACACAAACTGATAGAGAGGTAAATATCCAGGAACATCTGTTCTGTGACATCGCTGCCGCGATCCAATTCCATTAAAAGGAAAACATGCTTTAGGGAGAAAATAGGTATTATCTATGATATTGACAGAAGAGAAAGAGGAATCATAACACCTGCTGTAATGAGGAAAAGAGCTACTCCGAGGGTCTGGCTGAGTTTCAAAGCTCTGATGAATAGAATGTATTGCTTTTCTAGATGGGTGCCCGCAGGTCCTTCGCAGTGCAGACACCGCGCGTGATACTGATGAAGGCCTGGGCGCTGTGCTAGGAATTTAAAGGCACAAGCCAGACAGACCTAAAAAAAAAAAAGATTATATCTATAGCTCAGGCATCTATTTTAGTTTGAGAGAGAGAGAAGGTAGATAATGGTTAAGTAAGGCTTTAGCTTCCCAGAAGAGTTGATCCTGGAACTGAGATGGTGTTAGATTTGGGATGAATTTCATGAATTTGGATGTATCAAGCCTAACCTGTTGGAGAAATAACAGGATGTTAAAGGAAATCTATCTAGAGAAAGGGCCCTCTGAGACAAGTGTCGTCAACGGAAAGTCCCCATGACAATGATCACCAGGACAAATAGCAAGGCTTAATGTTACTAGAGTCAGTCCTGAATTGGGATTGCATTAGATTTGGGATGAATTTCATGGATTTGGATGTAGCAAGCCTAACCTGTTGGAGAAACAACAGGAAGTTAAAGGAAATCTTTCTAGAGAAAATGCACTCCGTGGCAAGTTAATTCAATGGAAGGTCCCCATGACAATGCTCACCAGGGCAAACAGCAAGGCCTAATCTTCTTACTGAAGTCAGTCCTGAACTTGGGATTGCATTAGATTTGGGATGAATTTCATGAATTTGGATGTACCAAGCCTAAACTGTTGGAGAAATAACAGGAAGTTAAAGGAAATATCTTTAAAGTGAAAGAAAGCCCCCTCTAATAAAGGTATCTTCAATGGAAGAATCTCATGACAATGATCACCAGGACAAATAGTAAGGCTTAAACGTCTTACTGGAGTCAGTCCTGAAATTGGGAAGGCATTCGATTTGGGATGAGTTTCATGAATTTGGATGTACCATGCCTTAGCCGGAGGAGCCAGCCTGGTGACCTGACTTGTTAAGTAATACAGCATTGGTTACCTCCCTGATCCAAGACGGTTATTAAACAGTGAAAGGTTAGCTGCAGACTGATGAGCTCATCACTCTCCTCTTATGTCAGCATTTTCCATGGGAGCACATATACACTGCAGCAAACCTAGCTGGCCCCTAGGGCTGACCCTCTCGCTCCCAGTCTGAGTACTACTGTACAGGGGAAATACAGATGCTGAAACAATGTCCACATCAGATTGCATTAGTTGCATTTAAAAAATGAATTGCATATTACATAACTACATTAACTGGTGTTTGCTCTAAACTTAAACTGCAGGCAGGGTAAAAAAAAAAAAAAAAAAGCATTTGTGCATCCGGTTTGTGTGATATCAGCAAATCCGTGTGTTGTTTTTTGTAAGTTTTATAAATACAGTAAACAGATAATTACAATGTTCCACGTTTCTCAATTAGTAAAACTATTATGCAACATTTGCTGTAACAAATCCAGCTAAAACGGGATTTTGGCGATTCGACAAAACTGCCGTTCCTGATCCCGAGGCAAGAATAAACCTAAATTCAGCAATGAATGCTATTCAGTTTTTGTGTGTGGGGGGGTGCGGGGTTCTTTTCCGACCTTGTACGAGTATTTTTATCCTCTCGTGCCTCAGACAACAAATCACAAGGCCAAGGCTGGGAGTTATGCTTGTGCTGGGAGCTTTGTGTCACAATAAATCTTATTCACTGTTCCATTGTCCGAAGCCATCTCTAATGCACATTATGCACTGTAATTAAGAATAGTAATAATTCTTTTTGATGTATCTTTTTACATCTCTGCACAACCACAAACATTTAAAAATTAAAGGTCCCATTACGTCTCTGCCTCTTCTTAAAGTGGACCTATCAGTAACTTAACAAGTATGTAATAATTGATCTTTGACATGTCACAATATAGAGCAACAGTATCATTTTTTAGAAATGATTTGCCTTTTATGATTCAACAGCTGTCCTCGAGTTCCTTTCAAGTGACTTTCCTAGGTTGAGATGATGGCCCACTGTTCTCTGCAGTGATGGCCTCTGTCTCCTATGCAAATGTTGAAGCATAATGATATACTTAGGGGGAG